TATTGGGCTTTAATGAACCGTATTGGGCTTTAATAGACTGTATTGGGCATTAATGGATCGTATTGGGCTTTAATGGATCGTATTGGGCTTTAATGGAACGTATTGGAATTTAATGGATCGTATTGGGCTTTAATGAACCGTATTGGGTTTTGATAGACCGATTTGGCTTTGATGGACCGTATTGGTCTTTAATGGATCATATTGAGCTTTAATGGACCGTATTGGCTTTAATGGACCGTATTGGCTTTAATGGACCGTATTGGGCTTTAATGGATTGTATTGAGCTTTAATGGAATGTATTGGCTTTAATGGATCGTATTGGGCTTTAATGAACCGTATTGGGTTTTGATAGACCGATTGGGCTTTGATGGAACATATTGTGCTTTAATGGACCGTATTGAGCTTTAATGGACTGTATCTTCAAATGTGTGGATCCAGATGATCGATCGTTGGAACAATGAAAATTGGATGGTTGTTTCCGATGTGGCGCGTGAGAACCGTGATAGCCAAGTTGCGCTACACACCGGTGGATTGATACCATTTTCGGAGCATGATGCTCGTTTGGTAGGACCTAAAACCCATTAATTTAGTAGCTTGATTTTTAATATGTTATAATTAACACATGTTCGTATTATTTAACCTTAGACACGAGTAAAAGATGGCGTGCCCTCGATCGTTGTGGAATTGTTCGATTATACGAATAAGAAGAGGTCGGGTGGAGATGCCGCATCTACGGATTCTGGGGGGTACGTGACCTCTAAGTGTAGCCAAGTCATAATAAGTACATCTATCTATTATAATTGGATATGTAACTATCTATCTATCTAGGTTGGACAAATGTTCGAGTCGTTTAATTTAAAATCTAGTTTCGGTTGCTATTTGTTGGGCAAACATTATGATTGTTTAAGTTAGAAATTACGTATATATCATTATTTAGTTTGGGTTGCCATTTATTGGGCAAACGTTAGGATTGTTTTGGGTACAATTTTCGTATCTATCACTATTGTTTTGCCTGGAAACGTCTCATTTACAGTCGTTATGCTGTCAAAAYTGACTTGCAATCTTTTTTAAACCATATATAGGATAACTAGTCAACGGGTCTCACCCAAAGATACGGCGATGATCCCTCCATCTATCCCTTAGTTGACAAAGAGTTGTGGGAGTATGCGGTTGGGGGAAGTAAGAAAGGTCGTCTATTTGTGTTTGGGTATAACCAGGATCCCAATTGGGTCTTGACTGGGAACTACACAGAAGGTGGTTCATCGTTTTCAGATAGTCGGGTATGTGTCTCTTTTCCTTTGATGATGTTTATCGACTTAGTTTATAATTCATATCAAATATTATAACGTTTTATTTATTTTATAGGAAATTCAAACCTTAAAGACCAAAATTATGGATTTAGAAGAAAAAAACCCAACGCCGACGGATGGTGGAGGAGCGACAAGAAAAACAAATTCAAGATATGACTGCTTTGTTTAACCAACTCCGTCAATCACAACAATTCCCACCGCCAACGAATTGAATATCGTTTGTTTATTTGAAATAATTTAGTTTATTTGTAACAATCGTTTGATACTTTAAATTAAATATCATTTGTTTGTAATAATTGTTTAGTTTAGTTTATAATATTTGGTTGCATTTCATTTTTTAGTTTTTTCAATATTTTTACAGTTTTTACAGGTTTTAATTATTTATTATAAAAATATTTTAAAAATAATATTTTAATTATAGTTCCGACGGATTTCCGGCTAATATATCTGCCGGTAATATTTTAAAAATTAATAATATTTAAAAAATAAATAAATGTATTAAATATTTGTGGCGGATTTCCGACGGAAATTTCTGTTGGTAATATTTAATAAGTTTTTAAAAATTTAATTAAATTAAATTCGTTTTTCCGGCGAGAAAGTATTAACGACGGATTTCCGGCGGAATATTCCGCCGGTAAATTAAATCAATTTTAAAAAATATTTCTTAAAATTTTAATTAAGTAAATCAATATTTCTTAATTAAACCGACGAACTGTTTCCGGCGGCCGTAATCCGTCGGTAAAAAAAAGCATCCGCCGGTAAACTAATCACCAGCGCTAACTTTTCTGGCGGCCAAATCTGCCGGTAATAAGCATTTCCGGCGGATTTGGCCGCCGAAAAAGTTCCCCTGTTTGGTACGTAGACCGAATGAGACAGAACATGACGGACAGGACGGAACGGTACAGGACATGACTAATTGTCTGTCCTATGTTTGGTACGACTAGGATAGGACAAGACAAGACTGTTAAAATAACCATATTACCCCTAAATGTTGTTCAATGTTATTTTATATCATATAATGATTGCAAATGACAACAAATCAACCAAAAATATATTTAAATTATTTAATATGTGATATCAATAGTTTTTTAACATTCCAAGGCCACATGTAAATAACATTTGTCATACCATAAATTTTAAATACGCACATAGTTTTAAAAGTTTAAACATAACAATTGTAAATAACATTTATCACGTCATCGTCAAAAGTTTAATATTTCAAGAATGGAGACTGGAATCGAGAATGAAGGCTGTGAAAGAGAAGAAAGAGTAAATTAGGTTTGTATTTTGATATCAAATAACGAGGGCAATTGATTGTAATCTCAAATTTAGTCTCATGTTGTTCAACATTTTTTGGTGGAATAAAAAACTCAAGAATAGTTCCATCCAATCTTACTTTTGTCCCATGTTGTCCCATCTCATTTTTGTCTCATCCCGTCCCACTCATCCTAGCGATGACTATTTAGCTAGTCTTGTATGGATTTTCATTTTTTATGTTGTTGAGAATTGTTTGACTAAAATAAAGGTACAAATCATGGGTGGTTGAACTTGATGACTGTATGATGCATAACGGAGGACTCTAGATACAAAACGTGGGTGGTTGAACTTGATGACTGTGTGAGTCATAGCTTGAGACTCAATCTTTAGATCGTGAGTGGTTGAACTTGATAACCGTGAGATAATAGATGCTACAAATTTCTAGTGAATGAGCATTTCTGGGATCATCGACGGTCTCTATGTATATATGGTATCGACCAGGACAGGTTGAACTTGATGACCATTGATCTGTAGTGGGCTAATTAATGTTAGTATATGACTTACTTTTGTGTTCGTCATGTTCAATGGATACGGGTCTCCTCCGTCAATGAAATGTGTTATATTTTTGGATAGTGTATTATCCATGTTTTCGGTGTTGTTTTAGGTATGTAGTGTATTCATAAGTTAAGTGTGTTGATATCTTGAAACTTATTCATGTTTTGGGTATTTTGGATGATAGAGTTTTATCTACATTTTCAAAATTTGAACATTTACCTTTTTCACATTTGGGTGAGTATTTGGTTCAATGATAAAGGGGTGTTCTGATAAATGGGTTTTCGTTATGAAAATAGTGGGTTTTGAAAAGGATGATGCCTTTATACTAAATACATTTTATTTTGAAAAGTGTGATTTAAATAACATCATTTTAGTTTTATTATTTTATAATTATGGTGAAAACTGTTTGAACTCACTAAGCGTTAAGCCTAACATTTTTATTTGTTTGCAACATATGTTGAGTTGAGTCCTAGTTAAAGGCACAGGTATATTTAATTTGATATCACTTTTTTAAACTCTGTACATTCAATATCAAATTATCAATTCATGGTTCTTCTTTTGTTTATCGTTTTTTATGAATTTAAATTGTTAATAACTTAAGCATTATTGTTCAACATATATATATATATATATATATATATATATATATATTAGTTTTCCGCCTTAAGCCACGCCTTGGTAAAACTATGGTTTTACCGTAACTCGTAAGTCTTGAGACTTGATTCCGCCCCCATGTTACGTCAGACGTCATTAAGAATGTTGATATTAATGCAATCATATGGGGTTTATGGTGACAAGAAATTGAAGACAGATATGAGTTTATAGCAGTAGATGATATATATATATATATAGTTTACAAAACGAACATAATTTATGAAGATGATACTAGATGCTATATGTATATTGATTGGGTGACACAAAAGTCTGGATGTATTTCCCTCGTGGATGGATAATGATGCTATTGGCAGGATGCGTATACAACTGGACTTTGGTGTCCTTCTCAAGATCTACTTCGTAAATACCATATTCAGAATGCATAAGCCAATTTCCACTCCTCATCAAATGCAGTTGTTGCTGAAACCATGGAAAAGAGGGTATCGAGCAATAAGTTACCATCTTTCCCCAATCTCCATCTTCATCCATTCTCCACATCTCCATTGTTCGACACCAGTGTCGAAATTTCGCTTTCCAAATCGTCAAGTGAATGCACCCTCTTAGAACCGTCATGTTTAAACAGCCCGTCAATAGATTTCCAAAAGACGGGGCTGCTGTCTCTGTCAACTTCTCCGTCTTCACATCGAACTGTATAATTGAATACGATTGTGGACTTACGGTCGCTCTCTTGACTTGCTTTAAGAAATAGAGTTTTTCATTCAAAAAAGTACTTGGATTCCAAGATTCTGAAAACCAAGAGGGTTTATGTCGCAAGTACTCTTGTGTTGATTCGACCATTCTCCATGAGTCAGATCTCAATGAGTATATATAAGCATCCCGATCAATGGTTACACGTAGGAGCTTGTAGTCATCATCGGCACAACTGTAATACAACCCAAATGCTATTCCACAGGTCTTGTAGCATTGTTTGTTAGAATTGGCTTTAGACAACGTCTTATAATCACCCGTCACAGGATTCCATAATATTAGATCGGAGTATTCATCGTCATCGTACCTGCACTTCTTTATGCCTACGCATACCAGCCCATTCAAAGATGCTATAATCATCACGTTTTCAGGACTCGTTTTGAATGGGAAAGAGCGTGCGGTAGTTAAATCATCTTCAGGCGTTTCACAATCCATGGTGCGGAAGCTGCATGGTGTTATGGTGGACAAGACGAGAAGTTTGTGGCTGTTTTCATGGTGGCCGTTGGTGGTTACGCGGTGGAGGTGGACGTTCGCAAACGTGGGTGTTTTTATGATGGATCGCCATTGCCTGCAAACAGACATAACACGGAGTAGGGACTTGATCGGCAGCCTTGGTAGTATGTGAAACAACCATATCTCAGGTGGTAGCTCCGGTGTGATGTTCTTATGGGGACGGTGGATGTCAGCCATGGTCGATCTATAAGGGTTAAAAAAACCAAGCATAGTACAAGTATAGAGAAAGCTTTATAAATCATATATGCTTTTATATATATATATATATATATATATATATATATATACTATATTATAATACATTTGGCTAAAACTCTTAAAAACTCTTAAACTCTTAAAACTCTTAAACCCGTTCATCCCTATCCAATTTCATCCCATAACTGAATTCGTATAACTAACTGCAGATAAACACAATCAAATACAAGATAAACATCTTATTTTAAATATAAAAAATCTAAAATATAATTAGGATAATCA